AAAAACTGGAACAACTGTAATAGGATAAAAAAGAATTTAAAAAAAGAAAAAATCAAAAACAAATGTTTGAGATTAGATAGTCAAGTGATGACATCATGTAGGCAGTTGGATATGTGTGACCAGACATCAGGGGAAGGGTCCAAGTTTCAATCAGCCTGGTATCACAGTTCGGAGAATAGATGAGATCAGCAAGTAAATGACTGTAGACACACAAGGGAGCAAGTCTAAGATTTGAGCCTGGCACATTCCAATGTTTGAAGCTGGAAAGATTCATTCATAGGATACAGCAAACAGAAGGGTGGCCAATGAGGTGAGAGGACTAATATCCTGGGAGCCAACTGAACAAGTGTTTCAAGAAGGACCTGATCAACTATGATAATTACTGCCAATGATTGAAGAACAGAAAGTATGATTCAGGTCAGGGACCAACCAATCATTAATCAACAATAGCCAAAGCGTGTTCATTGCATGTGGGCAACCATCATCGTAATTCAGCATGCATGTTGAGGAGAAAACTAGACCTGAGGGAAAGGTGCACACCAAGAATATGCTTTATAGAATATTTTATGCCCTTCACTTCCCTGCATTGCTAGATAATAAGACCATATAAAAAGAATCCTTTAAAGTGAGACTTTTCAATGGCTCATTCCACTTAAGAAAGTCAAGAAACAAACATCAGTCAAAGAAAACCTATTCCATCCTATCAAATTAAAGACCTTGGGAAGTATCTTTCAAAGTACATATAAATTTTGTCTTTACTCCTACTTCCTATGATCTGGTAGGCTAAATAAAGAGAGAGAATGGCTCAAGTGATCTATTTGGAAATAAAATACTCTGACGTATCTTGTTAGGCAGTGATTGATGGGACAATGACATGACACTGGGTTAGGTGTGCCTCCAAGTCACCCCTTGGTCTAATTTCATTCTGCCCATACATCACTTAGAGTGCTGCTGGCCATTATAGAATCTTGAAATTGATAGCAAAATTGGAAACATCTTCAAAGGAAGAAATACAACCTGAGGCTAACATTAGCCACAGTCCACCTCCCTCCATGTACTTCCTCATCATGACTCAATCCCTGACCCCACAAAAACAATCAGTTATAAAGGCAAAGAAAAGCTCTTCTGCCCTATAAACACCAATTTTATCTGCATTGGAACATAGATCAAAGCGGGCTGTCGTTAAGTGCTCAGAAGACAGTGGAACAACTTTTCATGGGTCTAATGGCATTGCTGCCTGCCTAAATCTGGAGCATGTACAGGACATGGATGCAGTCTCTGTCAGGAAATCAGAATGGGCTAAGAATGAGAAACAATCTATTAGCAGTTTATTAAAAAGTCTTTAAGAAAGACTTTCTTATATGGGTCTTAACAAGATAAAAGAGGGTACAAACAGGAAAAAGAAAGATACTAATTAAGGTGACTTAATAGAGAGTTTTACCCAAGCGCAAAAAACAAAACAAAAAAAAACAAAACAAGGACAGAAACACCTGGTAGTGCTGCCTCCAGAGAAACAAAAGAAAGGTAGAAGGTAGTATGAGTGTTACTACCTATTAGTATTTTATGTGCCTGTTAAGATTATTCACCAAATTTCTACAAAAATAATAATCTGCCTCATGCAGGCAGACCCTGCCTGAAGCACTGGGTTCCATCCCAAATGACATATTAAAAAAATATATATCAGTTAGAAAGAGCCCAAAAGTATATTGAGAACAATAATGAACGCAGAAACAGTATCAGAAGAGGAAACACTGGGAGACATAGAGAAAATGATGAGACACGGGCACTGTCGTAACGTGTCTGAGAAGCTGTTATGGGCCAAATACTGGATTAGACTGTAGCAGGCTTCCCAGCCCTGTTACGGCTGGGCCAGTCACCTTGGCTAGGAAATAATCTTTCCACGACTCAGACACAATCCGAGGTCAACCTAAATGACCTTAAGTTCCTTTAAGTTGTACAATTTTATCATTTCAAAGTAGATCACTATTGAGGAGAATGTGTTGCTTACAGGAAACGCCTACGCTTTGCTGAACTGAATCATTCCAAGTGGCTGCAGAAGGAGAAATAGGTAAAAATTATACTACATAAAAAATTCAGCTCAATATAAGAGATTTTAACAATTAGAACTGTGCCATAATGAAACCAGTTGTCTCAAAAATAGAGATAATTGTTAAGGGAAATATATACAGGCTAAAAACTATACAACTGCCAGTCTCTTCCAACCCTGAGATCCTACGATTCTTTAGGTCCAATTTACCAAATATCTCACCTCAAGATTACCTTTACCATTTCTCACTGACGCAGATCAGTTGTTCCAGGATTTCATACCTTTGCTGGAACATGTGAATTTAGTTCCTCTCTATGTTAAGTCACCATTGTGTTTTTCCAGCTTCATGAAACTGGTTCCTGGCTCTTGTCTATGCTAAACGGGCTCCCTTTTGGTTATCCTTGACATTTTTATTTGGTATAGGTCTTGGGATAGCTTTTTGGCATTGCTTTAAAAGCTATTATAACCTTATACTATTACCAGTGATGTTAAAATGACACAGATGAAATGGATGATATTGCCATCTCTCTTACCAAGTGTCGAGTATGTGCTATGCATATATCATTGAATCCTCTTAGTAACCCTGTAAGGAATCTGTTATTATTGTATTCATTTTACAAATGAGGAAACTGAGACTCAGAGGAGTAAGTTCCTTGCCCAAGGTAACTGAGCTATTAAGAGGCAAAATCTGAATGTGATTTGGCTAATGTCTCTAAATAGCCTGCCCTTAACTACTTTTAACTACCATGTTCAACTGTAATGGTTTGCAAAGTGTTGTCCTGGACTAGCAACTTCAGCATCACCTGGGAACTTGCTAAAAATGCCAAGTCTCACACCCACTGAAACTCTGAGGGTGGAGCCCAGCAATCGTGTTTTTACAAATCCTCCAGGTAATTCTGATGCTTGAGAACTACTTGAGTTTGAGAACTACTGCTCTACTGGACTAAAAATTTGCCTAGAAGGCCACATGCTACTTATTTAACCACATTTTCTATATTTGAATTTGAAAGGGTGCGGTGGCTCCTTAATCTTTCTTCAAGGCGAGAAAGACAAATCTTAGATATGAAAAAGTCAGGCTTCCTGCCCCTTCCCTGAAATAGAAAGGCTGATTCCTTGCCATTCTTGGTAAGGAGATAAGAGAGCTGCTGCTTTAAAACATAAATAGGAGGGAAACAAAACAGGGAAAAAAATGCTTTTTGCAGTACAGCAGGGCTGTCATGGTTAGACATAATGAGTGAATAGACTAAGAAGATCCTGAAGTTCCCCCAGTCTTTATACAATAAACATTAATTGTCTACTTAAACCAGTGAAAATAAAACTCCTTCCTACATGCACACTTTTTTTAGAAAAAGAATATATACATCTTAGCCTTATGAACACATCAACTGAAAGAGTGTTTCAAAGGTAGCATAATCAGTGGCAGCTGTCATCAGCTCTCTTTGGTTTAAAAAATATAAATCCTTTTAGCTTTGCAGCTCATGCTGCCTAGAATGTGACCTTGGTCTCTTTCAAGCTTATCTTTAGTCCATGGCACTGTGCAAGTCTGCAAATCAGTCTATAATCTCTTTACTATCTCCCTGCACGTGCATTTTTAAAGCTGTCATCAGCATATAAACCATCCTTTACTTCAAGGTCTGTGGAGACACTTGCGGCCAATCAGGCATAAGGCTTTTCATAAGGTCACACTGGGGGAGGAGGATGGAGTGTCAATTAGGAGTGGTATGTAAATCCAGTGTAGGACAGGATTTCTCCACACCTGTAGGCTTACCTGAGAAAGACGCTGAGTGCCTCTGAGTTCTAGAGGAATGAAGAACAGGAACTGCCTTTGCGCATACTTGGACATAGCAGGCCTCACTCATACTACACCACACCAAAGGTAAAATAAGCACGTTTCACCTGCAAGCCTCAACTAAGTAATTCAGTTCCTAGACTGGAATAGTACATGATTTATGTTATTATCTGAGATTGTTCTCAGATGTCTGGATCTGCAGTTCATGTTTTATTATATCCCCTTGTCTTCCCTCCTTCCTGAAAGAATTGTGGGGAAGCAGTGAACTAACGGGTAACAGTCAGCATTCATTCTCATAAGACAGTGAAGATGTGGGCCTCACTAACCCTCTCCTTCAGATACATCTCAGTGAGGCCCACTGACATCTACCAGCTCTCAGGGAGTAGGAGACCAGAGGATTGGGACAGGCCATCACAATAGGTCCAAGGAGTTATCTACACACGATCTTCTATTAGTTGAAACTCTTATTTCAACATTATGTCCCTTAACTTTAAAGAGAAAGCCAGAGAAGGTTTTTGTAAAAAACTCAAAAAATAGACCCTGAAATAATGGTAATTCTGCATGCAAAATAAAAGGGGATAAGATATACTAACTAAAATTAAGTGCAACCTATAAAAATGATCCCTTCCTTTCTTCATTCATTCATTCACTCAACATTAATGCAGCAAAACATAGGCCAGACAAGTATCTAAAAAATGTGAACCAGCTCCACATGTTCTCCTCAATACCCCTGCCCAAAAGCCAAACAAGAGGAAATGGACTCAAAGTGAAAAGCAGGATATTTTTAACTGACATCAGTATAAACAGTAGGTATTCGATTGCTAGAGAACAGTTCCAAAGAAAACTCAAATAAGCAATGATGAGCAACGCTAAGTCCTGAGTAGTCTGCTCAAGTAGCTCTCTGCCCAAAAGCAGTAGTCAAGACCTCTTGAGATCTTTTCCATCTATGATTTGTAATTTCATTCATGACAAGAGGTTGAACACCCACTGATATCTGCCAAATGTCTTCTCTAACCCATGTAAAAAGGCGCCATATATATATACATATATATATACATGCTAAACAGTGTATGTGTGTATATATACACACATATATACACATATACACACACACACAACTTTACTGAACATGAAGTAGTATTTAATGGTCAAAGTATAACTTACCCTTGCCATATCCACCAAGAAGTTCTCAAATAATTTCCAAATGTGGTTACTTGTGTAAATTTCTTTCATTTCCACTTCAGTGTCAACATAACAGTGATTAACAAAATTCACATAAGCAATTTTAACCTGCACAAGTTTCAAATACAAAAGAAAGTGAGTTTTCTTTCATTATTCATTTTCAGATCTTGATTATGAAATGTTAAATAAAATCTGTTAGTTCCCATAGTAGATCATAGCAAGTTCTGTGTCTACCCAGCAAGCATTCCCACCTCCCTCCTTCTACTAAGACACTCCATCCCCTGACCCAGGGTGAGCACATGACCTCATATGGCGTTCCTTTGGGCCCAGGGGTTCGTGTGAGAATGTTTACTTCACTTAAACCAGTCTATTTGAGACGCTAGGAGTCAAAACTGCTCCCTTCCCCTTCCCCTGCCCCTTCCCCATCTCTTCTCTCTTCTCTTCCCCTCCCTTGCTCTCTCTGTCTCTATCATATTCTCTCTCCTCCTCCTTTCCTGACAGCTCTACCTCATCACTAAAGTGGGACAGGGTAAAACTGAACTCCAAGAAACCACCTTCTGCCAGTGTGTGAAGGAAAAGTATGCTCAGAAGAAGAGAATAGGGCAAACCCACAAAGAAAAAGGGAACAAGAGATGGAAAGAATTCTGATAGTCTTTGAACCCCTTAATCTATCTGAACATCTATCCTTCAAATTCCCAAACATAGGAATCAATAAAATTCCTGCATTTTTAAAATTTAAACTAGTTTAACTTAGGTTTCTGTCACTTGCAATGAAGAGGGTTCTAATATCATGTTTAAAAATGTGGACTAAATAATACCTTGTCATTCAAAATTATTTAAATTACTAGTGCTGGGGAAAAAAACAGGTTCACAGTTTACCGAAAAAAAATTGTATTATTTTAAGATATATTAAAACTCCTTTCTAGATTTAGCAAAATTCCTCATAAATGACTAGGATGAGTTTCACAACATGTACCATTTTTAAATGTGTAGGGCAGTAGTTTTTTGTTTTCCATTTTCTTCTTTTCTTTCTTCCTTTTTATTGAAAATAGAATGACTGTTATAAATCTCCCCAGAGAATGTATATACATGTATGGGGGACCCCCAAAATAGAATTCTCTTCTGGTGGGCGGGCCCCTTGTAGTACAGGCTTCCCTCTCTAGGTGAGTGTTCTAGGAACCCATCTGTATCAGTGTCCCAGCTGGTGCTGTTGTGAGAAGCTGCGTTCAGCTTCAGTGAATTTTTTTTGAAGACTCTTTCAATGCATTTGCCCATTTCATGACGGGTGATTTATGAGCGCACCTGCCCACACCACGCTAGGTGTTCAGCAGTTTTTGACCAAAACCAGCATGACGCGCCCATGCCCCGCCCCACACACCTGACCTTGCCCTGAACGACTTTTTTTGTTTGTTTCCCTGGATGAAAGAAGTCCTCAAAGGGAAATGTTTTGCCGATGTGAAAGAGGTGAAACAAAAAAATGGCTGAAGCACTAAGAGGCCTCTAAATCAATGAGTTCAAAAACTGTTTTGAGCAGTGGGAAAATGTCTCGATAGGTGTATTACATCCGGCGGAGAGCGCTTTGACGGTGACTGAAGTCTAAATATGGAAGGTTACACAATTTTTTATAAATAAATTCCAGGGTTTTGGCCCCCTCCTATATATATATATATGAAACCATGTAAACAGTTTCAGGGGATTCACAGGATCCAAGTTCCAACCTTAAGTAACACATGATCAGCTTTCACAGCCTTAGTACTTATATCTGTACTTGACTGAGGTCTAAAACGAACCTTCAGTGACAAGGTACCTGTGTCAAGGACTGACCATAGGGCAGGGAGACGTCAGAGCCATTCAGTGCACTATCATAGTCATCTTGACAGCAGCTAATATCTATTCATTGTTTGCTACATGTCAAACACATTCAGCATTTTGTATGTAATATCTTCATTTAGTCCTCCAACAATACTATCAGGTCCATACTCTAATTATTTCACTTTAAAACTGTGGAAATTGAAGATTAGAAAAGTTACTAACCTGTTGGACCCATTCACATTGCTAAAAAGTAATGGGTCCAGAATTCTGACTCATTGTATAAATAATTCACTCAGTCATCCATAGCATATTTATTAAGTGTGGGCTCAGGCTCAGACAATACAGTAGTGAACAAAAACAGACCTAGTTGTTTTTAGACCTCAGCTGCTTCTAGACCTCAGTGTTTCTATACCTAAACCTCTTGGAAGAGGATGTGAGGGATACAGATGTTTATTAACTAATAAAATTCAAATGCCACATGTCAGATCACAGACTCTACTACCGGAGGCCAGAGAAGTCTTCCTTGAAGAAGTAACGCTTGAATCAAAATCTGAAGGAAGAAGAGGCATGAAGAAGCTGAATGTAAGAGGTAAGAGGGGTGTGGTCAGAGATAAGTGCATGTGGAGAGAAGCAGGGACAGAATCAAGACCTCAAATAAAGAAAGAACCCATGGATTCAATCACAACATTGTGCCTCCTGTCTTTGCCATCCTATTTCAAACCAATCGGGGCATGAGGTAACCCTCATTTGAGGTGTCAATAATTCCACAAAATATGCTATCATGTTCACCACTATATAGGACCACTTGGAAGCAGGAAAGTTAACCCAACCTGACACCTTTCAAGTTACTGTGATTTAAAATGTTGGTATTTATATCATATTCAGTGTATCACACATTTATGAACTTTGCAACAATACACCACAACGGTAGAAAAGAGATTATTACAATGCACATTCCTGGGAGCCTCACTAATCCTGTCGGCAGACAACCAGTTTCTAATGAAATTTTTTCCCTAATATCAGAGCCAAACTAGGACAGAAGGTGTAAGATGATATATGAATAAAGCAAAATGCCTGTTCATATTTCCTAGAATGCATCTATTCTATATAGCAAGATAAACCTGCAGAGTCCAACAGATGATCCTATTGCACCATCTTAGCCTCTCCTAACAATGAGTGAATTATCTATGAAGCATCTGTTTTGTTCTCAAGAATATACTAGAAGTTGCAAGTAAACCTTTCATTTTGTTCCCAAAGCCATATTTAGAATGCAGAGACTCCTGTCGTAGCTTCCAATGGCTATATTTTAAAAAGGTTTATGGTCCTTCCCAGTTTTTTATAGAACTAAACAAGTAATTATATAACTAAGCACAGCTCCTTGACTAAATATATTATCTCATTATAAGTAGTACTATGCGGACTTCTGGCGCTTAGGCACTTTAAAAATCATGACCAATCCTGGAGCTGCTAAGCGTTTGCCAGGCTCACCTCAGGGATGCAGTCATCGTGCGTCACCACCCGCACTATGTCGTCCAGGGGCAGAAGGGAATTGCACTTGATTTCGGTGTAGACGTTCTTCCCCTCTGTACAAGCTGCCAGCAACTCCACAAGGGTGATGTGGTAGGCTAAGGGGCCACTCTCATCCCCGCGGTCTCTCTCTGAACACATCATATTGAGAAGGATGGGGAACGATGCTCTATCGTTGTAAAATATCAGCACATCTTCACCTCCATTTATCAACTGAAAGAATAACAAGAGAGTCTCCACAGCAGTCCAGATATTCATCCTTGCAAATATTGCCAAAGGCTTGTTCTATCTGGAGACATGTGTATCTCTTTGCAAAAACATAGATAACGCTGCAAAAGCAGAACTATACCAAGGCAGCGTGGCAAAAGGATTCTTAGTCAGGTGCTAAGTGATTAGTTACAAACACTGCAAACACCAGTGAGGGAGCTATGGGAGTGGTGGATGGGGCAAGGAGGAAATGACATGGATGATAGTAAATTGTTCATCAGTGAACTACTCACTGAAATCAAACCTGTGAAACAGTCAAATAAAGTTACTTTCCTCCACTACAAATTAAAGACTCCATTGCCAAAGCATAGGACATCTCAAAAGTGTAAATTTAATAAAGCAGAATAAAATATCTCCATCTTCTTCAATAATAACAGAATAAGCAAGTACATTGAACCAAACACAACTGTATAATAATCTGGAAATTACATGTGTCAGAGCATCAGTAAAGGATGGATGTAAATACAGAGATAGGAGAAATGAAGAGAAAAAGAAGACTTTAAGGAAGAGAAAGAGACAGAGGGAGAAAGAAGACAGACAAATAAACTTTTAGGACATAAATTTTCCTTCCTATTTTGTTTATATCATTTTAATGGAGAATTCCAGTAGGTGGTAATTTTATTGCTCCAAATCCATAATGTCTTACTGTCTATCTATTATAAGTACCAATTTACTAATCCTATCATGAGATATTTTGGTGGGTAACACAGCTTAAATAATTTTTGTTTTATTTAAATTGATAAGAATTAGTTGGCTTACTTTGAAAGTTTTATTGAAAGAGAATGTATATGTGTCAAACTATGTGTTATATTTTCTCACAATATAAGATACAAATACTTCTTTATACATAGGAACACTTCACTTTTTAAGTGGCATAGAACTGGCTTAAATATTTTCTGCTTTCCAATTATAATTCTTTCCTTGATAATCATAACACAAAATCATATCAGTTTCCATACACTTCTAGGCAAAGGAGAGCTAATATGAATATAAATGTAGATAAGAAAAAGGTAAGTCTCACAAGTTAAAATGTTCCTTAAATGTTTAATAACAAAAATTTATATTAAAAATTCAAAGCTTTAAGCTGGATTAATTTTAAGACTTCTATGGGACAGAAGGGGTTCATATTGTATCAATATAGAAATCACCCTCATTCCCAAAGTGAAATATATAATTGTGTAAATCCCCCAAAACAACATAATCTACTACATAACTGTTTGGCACCCATGGTTGAAAGCTGTTTTAACCCATACAGACCTTCAGAAAACCATTAGGTCACAGAGCAGTGATTTGCCCAAATGGGCTCAAAAAGCTGTCAGTTCTCCAACATTTCACTTGGTTCTTAGTGAATAATTTAATGCATAAATCTCACTCAGTTTCAAACATCACAATGAAAATGGCAAAATATGTTAAGTACTTCATTCACTTGTTTTTCTTGAACATTAAGCTTACGCTAAATAGCTAAATTTTCACATGTAATAAATCATCGATGAATAATTTCTATTCATTAAATTCCCTTCAAAGCCCTCTGCAAATATTAGCAGAGAACACCCATTCTAGATTTCAGGAACAGCAACGAAGGTACTGGAAAAGCAGAGTTCAATCCATTTTTGTAATACATTAAATACTTAAAAATATAAAGTTTTGTCACTTTCATTCTAATCTATAACATTTTATAGGATTTTACCTATTATTTAAAATATCTGTTCATTAAGAAAAACAAAAGCTCTTAGTAAATTATAAAATCAACTTATGGTGCTTCACTAGAGTTAAGCAACACTTATTTGTGCTTAAGTTGTCATGATTCCATTATTTCCCAAAGCTATGTTGTTGGATTTTTTTTTCCTCACTCTAAATTAACAGAAAACACCTACTGAGCATACTGCTTATGTGAAGCTGGTAAAATGCAAACCGAGCACATACCTCTGTCATCACCGTATCCTGGCATTTCTTTACATATTTACCATCTGCTTTTACAATCGTTTGCAAAAATCTCAGGTACTCCACGTGGCGGCCATGAGTCTCGATGCAGTGCACAAAATGCTGCACCACTCGCTCGCTAATTTCATTGCACAGATGGTAATTGTTCATGAAGATGTGCCGCATGGTCTCTGCTTCAAGGAGCTAAACAGAGAGGAATGTGTCCTTGTAATTCTGACATGATCAATTTTCTGTTCTACGGGACTTAGAATAACGTCCCTGTTTGTGATCAGTTTTATATTTTACACAAAACCATAGTGAGTTTTCTGTGCAAGTCCTCAACAAAAAGCAATGAGATCATTCACCACTAAAAGAAAACTGAGCTCACAAAGGATTTGAGTAGGAAAAACGAGCTTATTATCATACAGATCAACAGTGGGCAACAGTACTCTTGAGAATAATTATCTGTTATTCAAAGTCAGCTCTTCCATATCAGCTGACCCATATTTTACTAAGCATGTGAACTCTACCTTTGAGTGTTTCATATTTATCTTACTCATGGCATTGTAGAGTTCTTTCTTTTTCCTAGCATTATATATATATGTATATATATATGAAGTCTTCATTTGTAGGTAAAATTTGTGTAATTTTTCAAGTTTCTTTAAATGTTTCTTTAATGGAAATAAAAGTATTCACATTTAGGGAGCGAACCCCTACAATGAAAAAGAACAAGGTGATGAAAATTAATAAAACTCTGTTCATCAATGCTGCCAAAGTAAGTCTGATGGACACTTTAATATAAATATTAGGAATTACTAAAATACTTACACCAGGAGTTAAAAACAAATTCAGATGTTTATGAAGGAGAATTTGATTCTGTGGATTTCCCCGGCAGAAATTCTGCAGAAACGTATGGGCTAGGTTCATTACTTCATCCATCTTCTCATCATTCTGTAAGTTAAGGATGGCACATGAAAGAGAAGCAAACAGACCAGGGCAAACATTACCTCAAAATTAAGTTCGTCTGCACACTTGCTTTTTCTCGCTGCTGCTGTTTTATAGTCCACATTCTCTGTGCCTTTTTTATTTCTGTATCTCTCCTGGGGGTAACCCCCACAGAACACCTCTCCCCCCATTTTCTAGGCGTTTCTCGCTTCTTTATTTCTCCGCCTAGTATCAGCTGTGCTCCACTCTTTCAAACCCCTCTTTACTTCAGAGCCCACCTCCTTTCTCCCCAACCTTCCTGCTTGTCCGCGACGTCTTCCCATCACTGTGCACAGCTGCCCCTTCCCGCACCTCTGCCTCACACCTCGGTCCTCCCTCCCTCTCTAGCCCGCACATTCTCTCTGGTTCTCCCGTATCCACAGCTGCACCCTCCAATCCCTCTCATTCCTCCTCTTTCTTGGATTTTCCCTCTTTCCCAGTGTTTCTATGGACCAGGATTTTCTGGGATTTTTTGTTTCATTTGTCCTCTTCCCCCAGCTTCTATATCCCTGTCTTTCTCAACCCTTTCCCTCCCCACTGCTTGCCTCAGGACCTCGTTCCCTTCCTCCTGCTCCTCCTCCCCTCTGCTCCCGCTCCTCATCCTCCGGCCCTGCCCTACCTTCTCTCTTCTCCCTATGAGTCCGCCATCCCCCACCCTCTAAATATCTCTCTCTGCGTATTTCTGACCCTACCTCCTTTTCCTCTGCTCCCCTTTATCGACCCCCTCTTTCTGCCATTTGCTTTGTCTCTTATTTCCACCTCTTTCTTTTCCTTTTCCCTTTGCCTTCCCCCTTACTCTTTTCCTCTCTCTTTTTGTCCCCCTTTCTGAACACATGTATTTATTTATTAATTGTACTTTTATTTTTATTGTTCAATTACAATTTTCTTTCAATATTATTCTGTCTTGGTTTCAGGTGTACAGCATAGCGGTTAGACAATCATACACTTTACAGTGTTCCCCCACTATTTCCAGTACTCACTCGGCCCCACTATTGCACTATTACTGACTCTATTCCCTATGCTGTAGTTGACACCCCTGTGACTGTTTTGTAACTGCCAATCTGTACTTCTCAATCCCTTCAGCTCTTTCACCGTGTCCCCCGAACCCCCTCCCCTCTGGCAACCACCGCTCTCTGTTAGTACATTTACTCCCAAGGCCGCTTTCCTTATTCACTGCCATTTTCCAGAGTCCCATAATACTATCATTTGCTTACAGAACTCTCATCAAGAAACTTAAGTCTCAAAATTCACAAAAAAAACTGCAAAGTTCTCTTCTTAAAAGTGGACTTTCAACAATATCACTGAAACCATCTAAAGTTTTTCCGAATCGAAGAGTCTATTGTGCATGCCATCTATAACAAAACAACCAGCGTAAGATCATTAATAGGAACATTTCCTCATATTTAAAATGGGATGAATTAACAAGACATATATAATAAATAAGTCCAGAAACTCCCTCCTAATTTTAAAATAGGAAATTTTTATTTTAAATCCTACTAACGCCCCCTTTACTTGGGTAATCCAAGAACAGTTAAAAGCATAAAAGGAACTTCAGCCCCAGGAATATCCAATCCCCACTGAAAAGCTGGACAGCACAGAAGAACACCAGGGGCAGTGCTATTGTGTCTGATATTTCTTTGAAACTCTTATTCTTTTTTTTTTTTGGCTTCTGAACATTTCAGTTATTAAAACTGAGCAAACCTATAACACAAAGTCAGAGTAAAACACTCAACACTGCTGTTACATTATTAGAAGAAGGGGTTTGGTCACATGTTCAATGCCCATGCTATCAAATCAAAGACAAAATAATTTGGATAATAAATGCTGAGGGTTTATAGCTTTTGTTGCCTTTCAATAATGTTTTTATTGCATTCTCTGCCATAGTATGAATTATTTCACTGGAAGAATGGAAGCATTTATAAATTTACATATTAAATGTAATTAAGAGGGGTGGGGCAATGTAGTATGAAGAGTAAAAGTCCAAGTGGGAGAGCTTCTACACCGAAAGAGTCCTGGCATGCACACTGGTGCCCAAGAAAGACGTAAAGGGAATCCACCCTGTGGATGTCAGAGTCTGAATGAGGTACAGAAAGCATTCACATGGAAGAGTAGGCAGCAATAGTGATGAAAGGTTGGTTTTTACCAGGTATTTATAAATGAGTAACTGTAGTAACACATATATACATATATTCCCTAGCTTTGTATATTTAGAGGGCCAGCAGTGGCAAAACCCTAATAGCAATAAGTACACTTAGTTCCCAAAACTCTGCTTGTAAATAACATCCTCCCTCAAACGTATCCAGAGCTACTTAAAGAAATGGCTCACTCCAGAGCTGAAGCAAGAAGAATGCAAGGTGAGCCTAGAACATTTTCATGTGCAGAAGAGCAAGGAATGATGGGGTTATTTTAGAGGACAGAGACACTAGCTTAAAGGGGTACCCTTGGCCAAATATGGAACAACCTGAGAATCCAGATAAATAATCATAGAAAACTAGTACAACCTATTGAGTAAAATGAGCATCTACAAGTCCATGCTGGTAACAATAAAATTAATGAATAAATTGAAAGTTTGATTAAAAAATGGGCTATTTACCTAGTTTCAAAGAAACTATCCACAAAATACTTATTAATTACAAAGGAAAAAGGAGTACTTGACAGTGGGGAACCTGGAAGACACCAGTTAATCAAGCGATCAAGTGAACGGCATCAGCAATGAGCGAGACAAATCGAATTTGTGTGCCACCTGACAGGAAGTGGTAGGAAGAACTTAGTGTCACTTCTGTTAAGTTCCTGCCAAGATGCACAACTAAATCTAATCAGGAAGAAACATCAGTGGCCCAAAAGAAGGGACAGTCTTCCAAACAGCTGGTCTGTCTTCAAAAGTGTCAATGTCATAAAAGTTCCAGCATAAGGAGATTAAAATAGACACGACAACCAAACAGCACCAGTTTCCAAAGTGGGTCTTTCTGTCAAACAGGACACAACTGGAATAATGGAGTCATATGAATGGCTCATGAGGATCAGGTGGCAGTAAAGAGTCATGCTCTTTCCTGATTTGGATGGTTGTCACGTGGTTATGTAGAAAAGTATCTTTGTTTGTAGAAAATACATGCTAAAGAGCCATGGGGTGATAGTGAATCAGACTGGAGACTTACTTTCAAAGAGTTCAGGGAAAAAAATTCATTGTAACTTTACTCTATGTTTAAAATTGCATCAAAATAAAAAACTAAAGAAAAGATGTAGCTAAGGACTAACCTTTTCATAGGGTATCTGCAGAAGATCCAACACCACTGAATGAGCGCCCATATTTTTCAGTAACCGCTGATGTTGATTCCGACTTTTTTTATTCTGTATGCAGAGTTTACTTAGCCTAATCAAAATCTTTTAAAAGAAGAACAGCAAATATAACAAACCTAATATTAAATATAATTTCTGCACAAAAAATTCTTTGCCACGCAAATGTAAACCCATATAAAAATATTTGACTTCTGCTGACCTCCTTTACGATCCGGTAGTTGTTGCTCTTATTGCTGTCAATCTGAGGTTTCTTTGTTCCATCCTGAACTGGACTTAAAATGTGTGATTCCTAAAATAAACACAAATATATATATACATATATATATTTATGCCACATGTAGCATTGTAACAAGTTTATGTATTTTTGTAAAAAATACATTTTGTAATTATTTTCTAAGTATGTATTATTCAACTTAAACATTTTCTTTGTATCTTTTTAATCCAATAAAAAGTTCCTTGGCTTACATGAGCTGTGCAAATTACAATTTCCCAGTAACAACCAAATTGCAAGATATGTGGCATTACTAATAATTAATGAACTAAGTGGAAACAGAAAAGTTACTATATATAACATCATCAGTGTATTTCCTTATGCTAAATTTATCAGGCATATTGCACCTTTATATTCCCTATAGGAAAAGGAATAGTAAAAATTCAGAGCATAAAGGTATAATTATATCATCAGGGATGAACTTCAGGGGAAAAAAGAAAAGAAGTAAAGGAAAATTGAATGACAGCTGAAAAGCATTTCAGGAATGGGAGGAAAGAGCACCTTAACCCAAGAATTCTCTGGCAGGTTACCATGACATCCTTAAAGAGTCATGACAGAGCCAACCAAGCATGTACAAAGCTGCAAAAATGAAGGAAAGAAAATAACATTTAAATTAAAATAATATTTTAAATTACTAAATTAATAAAGCTTATTAAAAGGACCTGAAACACCAAAAATATTCCATTTTAGCAACCATTATCTGAAGCATATGATAAAATATATATTAATATATAGTGTACAGATTTTAAATATCAACTATGAGAGTCATCACATGAGAATAAAACACCAGTTACAAACAACACATAAACATTTATTAAGTTAATCTCTGCCTGGTATTAGACAAGGTGAATGGATCTAAAAGAAATGTAAGACATGGTCCTTCCCACAAGAAAATCACAGTCTACCTAAGAAAACAGGGAGAAATACAAAGATTTGACTGAGCAGAATTCATTATTCAGAGAGAGAGAGGGAAACTAGCTATCGCTTTAGACAGCTTTATAAAGGAGGTCAAGGTAAAGTCAAGGTCTTGAAAGATGAAAACCAGTTAAGTATGAGAGACTTGTAGGAAAGCAGGGGACACATGTCAGGTGAAGAAGTCACCTCAGCCAGTGGCAATGCAGAAAGAACAAACATAACGGTGTGCAGAAAGTGGAAGAACTGACAGTGTATGTTGCAAGAAAGTAGGCAATTAGGTAAAGTGAGGCTGATTACGTCTCTGATTTACAATATGTAAAAAATTGCACTTGGGATAAACGTCAAGTTCAACCGGAGTCAAAAAAAAACACCCCTCACTTACATTGATGGTATTGGGCCCCCTCAGTTAAAGGTAACCCCAATCTAAGCTCAGGAAAAAGTAACAAAAATATATGAAGCCAATAGATATAATTTCACTTGTACAAAGCTGTTGTTTCTATCATGTTCCATGACAAGTCACAAAATTAATGCAAACAAGGAAGAAAGAAAGAAAAATCTTCCCTTGCTAGCCAAAGACTTTTGATGAAATATTGCAAGCAGAGTGACTGGATCAATGTGGAGGTTTCCCCACCCCTCGGTAAGGTTTGTATTCCTTTTGTGCTTCGTCCCCAGGCAAACACCGTCCAAGACAGAGGCTCCCCATCTAAACTCTGCCTTAGTGAGGGACCTCTTCTTCCATTTTGCTGAGCATATGGCAATTCCCTTACATGACATTTCCTCTTTCCATCTGAAAATGCCCAGCATCCTCCACAAACCTGTCTACCTTCCCTGCAGTGCCTCAGAGAGAAAGACCTTTTTGCTGCGTGGATTTTGAAAATGCCATCTTCCCTGCTGCCTTCCTGTTTCTTGTGCACAGGTAGTTTCTACCCTCTACTGATGCTTTCTCATCTCTTTGAAGATACAGCAAGTTGAGGGTAACCAAGGCCTTTCAGAGATCCTGCCCATTCTGGGAAGCAGTCTTGTATCTCAGACTATTGTTCCCACTAAATTTCTCAAAAGAATAATCCATAACATGCTGTGCTAGAAGTGCTTTAGGTGCCAATGACTATAATGACCAAACCTTTCTTCAGCATTTGGTTCTGTGGTTCACTACCATTTTTGGTACACCCTACTCTGTTTGTTTTATTGTGACATGATGTTCTTCAAGATTGCCTGCTACCTTTCTGGCCGCCTGTCTCTTTCACCCAACAGAATGAGAATTGCAAAAAGTAAAGAACATGGACACTGAGAGCATTCCACACACTCCTGTTAGACTCCAGGGCTGTGTCATTTATCTACCCAAATAAATTCTAGGAAGAAAATGAAAGCTGTCCAACACGACCCGACCTCAGGTAAATAAAAGAGAAAAAATGCAAGACATTGTCTGCAAGACAATAAGGACTAAGTGGATCCTAGAATGTTGTAGAAGAAAACGAAAAACTATAAATCTAAGTGAAGCCACTGCAGAGGAGGGAAGGAGTCCAAGTGCTAATATTAAGGGAAACTATTTAGATGGAAAGAGACTGGAGGTCAACGAATGAGACAAATAATTTGATAGCAAAAATAATTTATAGTGAGTGGAAACTGAAAAATCTAGAAATATAATTAAATTTCCCTTCTGATCACAAAAGTGGAGGCTGAATTTTTAAAGACAATATTCATTTCTTGTCTGGAAGAGAAGAAATATTAAAGAAAGCCAGCTTTGTACTACAAAGCAGTGTTAGGATATTACCAAGTCCAAAGACTGACAAAGCTCCTAAGGTAGAAGGAGATCTTTCTGATATATATATCAACTTTTTAAAAAATCAGTGAAAAAATAAAGGCAAGCCTTTGACAAATATATTCAAGACTATTTTTCAAACAATGACCTGAAGAAAAAGCAACTGCCTTGTTTTAAGAAAAGTAATCTCGGGCAAAACATACTGCATTACAAAATGCCCTTAGCTCAGCCTAGAGGAAGTATAGACAATGCTAACCTCTGTAAGTATAGAAATTACAAAGAATAATTATTTTAATTTAAAATTGCCAGCAGTCAGCAAAAGGAGACAACATTGGAGAATTCAATAAACAGTCCCTTTTAACTTTGGAAAATAATTCAATGTAATTAAACTGAACAAAAATATGAACCAGTAGAACATCTGGATGATTCCAAAACAGTGATTAGGGGAATTTAAGAAATATGTAAAGCATATAATTATAGTTAGGTTTTGTTTTCTTATTTTGAGGCCAAAATGCTCCAAGTGGAAGGTGTTCTGAGAGTTTTCCTCCAGAAAGAGCAGAAATTGGTTGTCTTTTTAATATCCTATACAACTGTGTTCCTAGATCAATGGCCAAGTCTACAAAGCCCTGGCTGTATTCTAATGACAAAACATTGGTAAGATGGAAAGTGTCAAAGTGCAACTTCTTCAAAGTCCTGAAGGTGAGTAAGCTCAAAAAAAATGTGTAACCCTAAGAACAGTAGCATGCTCATAATAGATATCCAAAATATCCTTTGACAACAGTGATGAAGAATAAAGATGGCACTCCAAAAGTCCTTGCACCTTATTGTAATTGCTTCCTATCATCTGGAAGAATTTAAATTTATTTCCTCTAATGGAATATGGAAAACTGCTTAGTTAAGTGATTTTAGAGAAGTAGCTAGATTTTTAACTGCATAGTATATACTGTAACATAAAGTAGTATATTCAGAAACATAGCAAGAATAGTCTGGAAGGATCTAGAAATTTCTAGGAGGATCTAGAAATTAGAAGAGCAGGATTCTAGATAGAGACTCAAAGAATTAATACCTAAATAAATACTGGATCTGATCACAGCTTCCCTCCAAAATTTATTTTGCATTAGGCATGGATGCTCTTTTATATCAAAAGCAAAACAACACAAGAAAATAACATTGCATGAACTATACAGCCAACTAAACGTTGGTACCAATTAATAGGGATCCATCCCCTTTGCTTAAACAAGGGAAATCATGCTTTTTAAGGAAGAACTTTCCAAATCCTAAAATGCAGAGCTGCTGTTTCTGCAGCTGCATGATTAAAATAGCTCAATGCATGTCTTCTCTTTGTCCCCACCCCACTGAAGCTAAAGCATGTCCTTCCTCAGCAAGACTGCTAAGCATTCTGCTCACCATCTGCATCCTTCGTCTTCTCCTTCTGTAACCACTGTTCAACTGAATCCATGGCATCATTCACCAATCACCCTCCTCCCGACTTCAGATGTCAGATATCTTCCCTTTCCCTTCCCACCTCCCTCCAAAACATAATAAATGTCACCTCCTTCAGACAACTGAATGATAACCTCACTGTGGGACGATGAGGTATTTTTTCTCCTGCCATCTAAAAGTAGCATCACATTCCCGTCATTTAGGAAGATATCTAAGGGGTTGCAGAATCCTGAAAATCATCCTCAGTCTACTTATCTGACCTTCCATGTAAAAAGCTAATTTGGACCATCATGGGTCTTGGTTGGCAGTTTCTGCTTCCTTCCCTGGTTGGCGCCTAAGGCTGCTTGAGGACTTGGCTCAAGGTCTACAGTACAACACAGAGGTGTGTCCACCAATACTGGTGGATAACCTCCCTCCAGACTTTGCTCAGCTTAGGTCCAAGTCCCTTTCCTTCCAGAACATAAATACAAAGCCCTAACCTTACCCCAAACCTGTTTTCCCTTCCCTTTGTCCCAAGACAAATACAATATTGCTATTTTCTGACTCATCTCATGTCCTGTGAATTAGTATTTGATAATAATTAATCTGATGTCCTAGAAAACACCCCAAATATCCTCGGCTATCTGTATCTCTGGTAAATATGGTAACAAAAAATGATGTGCCACTCAAATGTATTCTCCTTACTAAGATATTGGGAAAAATAGGAAATATTCTGCTGATAGGTATTTTCAATGTAAATAAATAGCTGTTTTCCTAAGAATGCACCAGATACCCATTATAATCAGGAATGTATAATACTATTTATATAAATCCTTTTATAAAATGTATAGAGTATATGTTTTTTAAATCATCCTTGCCACTGTTACATAAAACATAGAAAGGACAGACAATTCTTTAGTCA